AAATTATAGTTTTGCTCTGAAATGACCAGTATATTATACTTAAGCCACTCAAATATTTTGAAAAGATTTCTTTCTTATGCTGAAAGTATATTTAATTATAGATTTATTATTGCGCATCTTTTTACACATGCACAATCTATGCTTCAAATTTTTAAATATGCTGTGTGGTGTATTCATATCATATATTCATCCTGTTTTCCAACACCAATAATCTCCAATGGGGTATCCTCTAGGTGTGTTGAAAGACAGCTGTTCTTATTCCAAGTCAATAGATATGCATTATTGACCATGAAAACTAGGATGATTGTAGGTTTATAGCTAGTGAATGCCAACTATAGCATGGTTGCCAAAATCATACACAGTATAGTTGATGTAACCTCATTAATAAGATTGGTCTCAGACACAGCATCATATGTTTCATACAGATACTCAAACAAAATAGCTTGCACTCAGTTTTTTACCATGGCATTGAGAGTAGTGGTATTTAAGATTCAGACAGCAAATATTTTTCATAGAAAAGGAGAGATGGAAAATATAAACAGATAAAACAGAAGATATAAAAAATAGCCAGGAAGACTTTCGGAAGAACAAGCCTGGAAAGGTGATAACACACAGCTAAAATGAATTTAAGGTAGCAGAGAAAGGATATTCTAAAATATATTAGACAGTGCTCATTCTTGCTAATTTGTAAGTTGTCTGATTTCCACTAAGTTTTGAGTGTCTGTTTTCAGGAAAAAGTGCCAGAGAATCATTGAAGGGTCTTATCTACTCCTTATAAAGACTCTTCCATGGGGTTAAAAAAGTTGAAAGAAAAGATCAAAGATTTTACTAGTCAAAGAAATCACCAGCTATACAAGGCTAGCCACCAGTTCACCCAACTGAGAGAAGAAACAGAAAATTTGCCACTAATACCTATAAATCTTTTAATTCTAGAATTATGAGCAGTTAAAAATAGGATAAAACTAAAAGACAGTACACTTACACCTATTAAGCGCATAGACTACTAGAGCTTAAAATTGAAAGTTCAGAAAAAAATGTATGTTTTAATGTGCAGATTTGAATTTCACTATCTGAATGGGAGGGAACTAATATACAGAGCAATCATGTCTGCAAATCTGAAGAAATGAAAGTGGGGTTTGTTTGTTTGTTGTTGTATTTTATTGGTAGTTTGAATTAAAAGAGAGAAACCTCTCCCTCAAAGTACAGTTTTGCATTGTTTCTTTCAAATTCTTCAGATCCCCAAGTGCTGCATGCTAGCTGCCTATGTCATCTGAAGTCATATACTTGAATCTGTAGGTTTAGAAAAAATAGAGATTAAAATAAAAGGAATTAGCTACGAATGTGATTTTGACACAGTCTGCGCACTTTCTAAAACCATTTGGCATTTCTCCCATTTTCTAGGCCAACGAAAAGGGCTAAGGCTGGTTGTGCTATTAGTAAACTATATTCTTACCATAGAAAGATTTTATATCTTTTTGTGAAGCTACTCTAAAAGCTTCACATTCAAATATATAGACAAAATTTTGGTTTAAATCATTTGACTTTAAAATGAAGGAAATGCCAAGTATTTTTAGAAAGTCTGAAAATTAACCCCAATTAATTTCAATTTTTGGGAAAGAAAACCCATGGAGAAGTGAGGATATATGGGATAAGGAAGTTATGTTTGCAAATTTTTCAAGTAGCATGGATACATGGATAAGACTTACCATTAGATTTAAATATTTGGACACCAACAGTATTTGAAAGATTTGCTTTATTTTCTAATACTGTAAGTAACTAGAGAGTATTGGTAAGATAAAAAGGCTACTCTTCTGGAACAAAGATGATCCCTTATGTTGGATTGCATATCCATATAAAGTCATAGATATCTACATTCCAGAAGATTCTATTAAAATGTCCAAGTTTTTTCCTATTATGCAAAGTTTACCTATTGATTCTACTGTGTTCCTTACATATACACATAAAGGAAGATAATGTCCAATTACATACAATTACCCAGCTTCACTCGCTGATCCAGATGTTGGTTATTATATATGCAGATGTAATGTTTCCTTTTTCTTTTTCCTTACCAGAGATCAGCATGAAAGGCATAATGCTCTTCAACTGGAAGGTATCCGTAAGACAGATTTGATTCAAGACCGCACAGCTAAAACACTGAGTTTAAAATAAATAATTTTAAAAAATATCAGGGGGGGCAATATTCAACATGCTAAAAGGAGGCTTTCAGAATTCTAAGAAAACAAGATTGCAAAATGAGGCTGTCCTTTTGAATCTTGACTCCCATTAGATGGCCATTACTCTGTTGGCTTTTTCCCGGTAGTCTTGGAATTCTAGAAGTTGAAAGCTCCCAACAACAAGAGAATATCAGGTTGTAAGAGGCTGCCAAAAAGTTAAGATTCACTCATGGTAATGACCAAAATTACAATACAGGACACCATTCCCTTTCAAACAACAGGGTCTGGCTATGCTTTTCGTTGGTGAGTCTCAAACATTGGTCCATGGACTATCCATCACTCATGAAAATTCACCAGGTGGCCTGCCAGTTTCTCTGCATTTACTCTTCAGAACCCACCTGAGCTGTGCACTGACAGTCAGCTGGCTCTCAAAAACAGATGGCTAGCTGAAAAATAATTCACTGAAGTGTAAGTAATAACAGAAATAATAAGTACTAACAGCAAACTGATAAGTAAACAGGTTGTAAGCATAGTTACTGGACCAGTCTGTCCAGCTGACGCTGAATGGATGACATGCAACCTGAAAAGTGCAAATAGGAAATGGAACAATGGATACCTAAAAAAAAGGGCTGGAAATTTTACTTAATGACACATTTTGTTACAGAAAATTTTGATCATACAGTTTGTAGTCAAGAGTTGCTAGTATGGCATGGGGTACATAAAAATTAATTTAAATAATTTTTTTAAAATCTGGATTAAATTTTCTGATGCAAAATTTAGTTTTAAAAAAGAGAAAGCATATACTGTATATGTTTCTCCAAGATAAACTTCCATATTCCTACAGACAAAAATATATGGAAGATGGCATTTGTTTCATTGGCAGTTCTTGCATTTTCTTTATGTTTCTTTTGTAGTGTATGGTTGAAGAACATTTAAGCAACATTGCCTTGAATGATAGCAATCCAAGACATATAAATTTATTATATTCTAATGTATCCTATTTTCAATAGCATACATTACTGTTTTTTTTCATTTTCAAAGAGCTATTTCAAAATCAATACAAAGTACAAATATTTATAAAGTAGAAAAGAAGAAAAAAGCAAATTGTTTTATTAGCTTGCCATTAAAGGAGACTAACCAGGAAGAAAAAAAAATAACAATCCTAGTACAATTACTGTAAACATTAGGATAATAAAAACTCATCAGTCAGATCTGTTGATACAGTTAGTGTTTCATTCCTGTTTGGCTGCATCTTTCTGGATCTTCAGGATTTGACACGTTAAATATTATTCCAGTGCATTACAATTTCCCGCCTTTCTAATTTTATTTTCTGTTCTCGGTGGAAGCACATTTCCATTAACCCCTCTCACTTCACCAGAATCTTAATGTGCTCTATGTATATCAATATTTAAAGAGTAGGACGATCTGGCAGGTTGCCCAGACAAGCAGGTCAAGGGCGCATTAAGGGCTGCGCGTTTTCACTGCACTTCACGATGCATCCCTGGACGCTGCCTGCCGCCCCCAATAATCACAGTTGGGCACAGGGACCCCCGGGACCAAGACGCTGTTAACAGAGATCCACCGATTTATTCAGGGAAATGGCAACAGGGAACGTTGGTGGGCTCCACATTGAAGAGAAGCCCAACTCCGCGACCGATAACATCCGGGGCCTTCTTCGCTGCATGCTAACCGTCCACCGTGCGGGTAAATGGGGCGCCCCCGACCCTCTGAGGAAAGCCAAGGGGCCGCCAGACTCGCCCCATACACACGTGGTCCAGCGGCCGCCCCCAGCGCCTCGAGAGAGTCACGTGCGGCCGGCGCCTGCTCCTCGAAGCCCCCGTCTTTCGCCAGGCTGCTGAGGATGGTGGGGCAGGCGGCGGCAGCTTTGGGCCGCGGGCTGGAGCGCAGGAACGGCGGCTGTTGGGGTCGTAGCCGAGGCGCGGTCCTGCTTCTCTTCTTCTCCCTGTCGCCCAGGCCCTCTGGCGGAGCGGCGTGGCTACTGGGGCTGCGGCCAGAGGATACGGCGCCCGGGCGCGTGTGGCTCGAAGGGGGAGCGCTGCGAGCGGCCGAGGGCTCCCGCTTCTTGTTGCGCCTCTACTTCCAGCCGCCGGCCGAAGGGAGCGCCGCCAGTAACGGCAGCAGCGCGAGCGAGAAGGTCGAGCGCCGCGTCGTCTTCGTGGAGGAGCCAGCCAAGGTGGAGCGCTGCCCCGAACGCAGCGCCTGGGCCTCGGACGTGGAAGTGCTGGGCCCGCTGTTGCCCGGAGGCTCGGCCGGCTCGGCTTTAGCCGAGGTGAGAGTGCGGGAACCGCGAAAGGGTGAGCCCGGCGCCGGGCCTGAAGGGCGTCGGTTCGGGCTCTGCGCTTGGGATGGACGAGCCTGGCAACTGCACGGCGCGCCCGGGGGCTTCGTGCTGCAAGTGGAAGCGCCGGCGGCGGGCTCGACCGCGTGGCTGGTCCCGTTGCCCACCGCCGGCTGGTTGCGGGCTCTGGGCGCACTAATCCTGCTAGCTCTGTCGGCGCTGTTCAGTGGCCTCCGCCTGGCCGTGCTGTCCCTCGATCCGATGGAGCTGCGGGTGCTGCGCAACAGTGGCTCGGCTGCCGAGAGGGACCAGGCGCGCAAGGTGGAGGCTGCGCGCGGCCGCGGCGGAAGCGGCACTTACCTACTGTGCACGCTGTTGCTCGGACAGGCGGGTGCCAACGCCACTCTGGCTGGCTGGTTATGCGCTGCCCTGCGAGCCAGTCACACTGCCCTGCCCGAAGAGAGCCAAGGTGTGCCATGGCTGCCTGTGCTGCTCTGCACCGGTGTCGTCTTATTGGGCGGTGAGGTGTTGCCCTACTCCATTTGTTCCCGCCACGGGTTAGCCATTGCTGCACACACGCTCTTTCTCACCCGGCTGCTTATGGCCGCCACCTTCCCCATATGCTATCCACTCAGCCGTTTGCTGGATTGGGCTTTGCATCAAGAGCTGAGCACCTTCTCCACAAGGGAGCGCCTGCTGGAGACCCTGAGGGCTGCTGACCCCCATGGTGATCTTGTGAGTGAGGAGCTAGCCATGGTCCAGGGTGCGTTGGAATTACGCACCAAGGTAGTTGAGGACATCTTGACTCCTCTGAATGATTGCTTTATGTTGCACTCTCATGCCATACTTGACTTCACTACCATTTCTGAGATTCTTCGCTCAGGCTATACCCGCATCCCTGTGTATGAAGGTGAACGACGAGACAACATTGTCGACTTGCTGTTTGTCAAGGATTTGGCTTTCGTGGATCCTGATGACTGCACACCACTGCAGACAGTTACTCGCTTCTATCACCGCCCGCTGCACTGTGTTTTCCATGACACCCGCCTAGATACGCTGCTCGAGGAGTTCAAGAAGGGTGAGGGCCCGGGGCCCCAGCCACTCGCCTCCTGCCAGCATCACATGCCTCTCTACTCCCTGTGCACCCTGCTTGCGAGGTACCCTGGGATCCCACCGTGCCCCCTCCTGCACTGGTCTGCCCTCTTTCTGTAGCCTGGATGTTGTGGCTGAATTCTTGGAACAGCACACCAATGTGTCTGTGTGTATATATGTGTGGGTGTCGGTGTGTTCCCGTTTATGCTCTATCACATATGGCTCATTGTAAATCACTGGAGTTATCCAAAAGGTTTTCCAAATAGGTTACCATATACACTAAGGAATTTTCTCCTGAAACTTTAATAGCATTTTCCCCAATTTGTTCCATTGTTTATATGAACTGACATACTGTTGTCAATCTTTCCGCTTACAACTTTATGCATTTCTATTCAGTGCAAAGAAACCATGAGCTGAAATTGGAGTGTTATTTCTTTACCTTCAATTCTAAAGGAGAAGTGAGGCATAATTTTCCTATTCTGGCAAAGTGTTAGGAATGTTGCAGGACATACTGTGTATGAGCTATTATAAGTCTGATTATAATAATTAAGTCTGTTCCATACGTACTCAAAAATGCTATGTTTTAAAGTCCAACATAGCTAGAGGATACCAGGTTACAAGATTGTCCAGTGCTAACTGGCAGTAGTTCCTCAGGCCTCAGGCAGGGCCTTAGTCTTTTCCAGTCCTATCTGGTTACTCTGTGGATCAGATCTGAGTCTTGTGCATAAAGCATGTGCTACAGCATGAAGCTTTGACTCCCCTGCAAGATGAAATCTGTTATTTCTTGTCCTAATATCTGTTGTAAACCTGTCTTCAATAGCAAAATTATTATAGGACAATTAATGCAGTCTTTACAACTTTGATACCCTACTCAGACATGGCATTGAATGGTGTCTAATTTGTTAATATAGAGGCAAGAAAAAAAGCAAGCAAAAATTGCAAACAATAACTATAAAGAGAGTTTCAGCTCTCTGCAAACTCGAGTGAAGTTGTGAAGAAGTCTGGAGTCATTCAACAAAGAACATTATATATTATCAGTGTTAACATTTAATTTAGATTTGTAGATTTCATATACAGAACCAGTAAACTTGGGAATTTTACATACATTGAATGGGGTGGTCTTTTACTCCCATAATCCTATATTTAGTGTAACCATCTTCTATGCTTACTGTTAATTGTAGGAATTAAAATCCAAAACTTTTGGAGAGAATGAGATTGGGGATTGCTGATACAGGTTATATGCAAGGACATTGCTCACCTAAATTGAGAAAGGCAGGGATTTAGTGAGACAAGAATTCTCATGATAGGGTTGGATGAATAAATGGCAAACTCAGAATCCTGAGCTACTTCTGGGCTTCCAGACAACATTTATACAAAATCTATGGGTTTTTTTCTTTGTCAACAGGATAAATTGTGGTTTTGGATTTAGTTCTGCAATTAATGATGAAACTCATCCTGGGAAACGAGACATAGTCATAATTTACGTTGCACTGTTATAGTTTGCATTCAGAAGAATCATCTTCTTTCTCAGAAAAGTATTTTGTATTTCTTGTGTCTATGAACATATTGGATCAGAGTAATATCACTTTCAAGAGAATGGCCATTGGTGTCACCACATATCACTATATATCCTTAACTGATAGTAGTGTAATTTGATTGAGTTAGACATGGCAGATGCCAGCAATCTAAAGCAGCTGTCCTCTTGAAAAGTGGGGTGTTGAACATTTGGTCTTGAATTTGCCTTCTCTTGTTAATCCCCAGGGGTACACTATACGCTCTCCTGACACTTCTCCATTCTTCAGTAGCCATATGGAAATCCTTAAGACTCATTGATGTTGTTCAGGGTCATAAGAATTCACAATTTTATTGTGAACCTTGTAATATCAGCTACTAAAATTGGAGTAGCTGAAATATGTGGAGTTTTTGTTTTCAATCTTCCCCAAACTTCAGTCTTTCAGATACTGCCTATGGTGTGCCTAAAAAAGGTAGAAGGAACAGATACCAAAAAAGTATAGTTCTCTCAGAGCTATGATGGGTATGGTAGCCAGTTGTATAAACAGATGGAATAAGCACAGAAATCTCGTTGTTAAGTAGCATTATGTAGAATGAGTATCTAGTAAAACCTGTATTTTAAATACCATAAGTACATGATCAGAATGGCTAAGAAATTTAAGTGGAGCAGAATCAGAGAGAGAAAAAACAGTAAATCTGTACTGTGCTTAATGTCAGAAATTATAAGATTTAGCATTTTTTTAAAAATTATGCAACAATGCCACTTCAAAGAGAATTCTACATTGTAATCAAAGCTACTCATGGTATTCCAACTGAGATTTAGCTAGTGTTCATGTATTGTGTGGCTTGCTTTAATTGTGCTAATTGAGTAACGTTCAATTTGCTTTATTAATAAGTTATTCCACATTTAGTACATTGGCTGGATTTGTACATGATAAAGGTCAGCTATCAACACTAAGAATAGGGTCTAGTAGGGAGAGAACCATAATAGAAAGTCAAGCTAACTTGGCATACTTTTTTTAAATGAAAATTGAAAATTAAATCTATATTACCTTTGTTTCATGATCTTTAAAAGTAGTGTCAGGTTTTCTATGTTTCACAAACATTTTTATACAGAAAATATTGGCATCTAAGTACACCACTATTATCTAAAATGCTTGCCCTCATAGGATTTGAATATTAGCAAATATTTTAGGTCATTTTATAACACTTTTAATGCTAGTGAAATTGTGGGAAGTACTATAAAATTGATTGTTGGGGAGTATACAATCCTTGATTGGACATTTTGTACTATCCCAAAGTAATTGCTTCGTTACCTCTTTCCTTTTCTCTCCCATCATTATAAATTCCTCCTTTCTCCAGGGCCCAAGATAACATCTCCTTCAATTTACTTCTCACTGTATGAAAAGTAGCATATATTCCTGAATTTCAAGAAGCAACATTTGCATTGCTTAGACTTGATTGCTTATGTTTCCTTCCCATGGAAGAGCAGGTGGTTGAAATAATTTTGCTTTTCATTCCCATTTCAAAAGGGGGCCACTTCTTATTGAACATTAGTCAAAGGCCCAGAATCCTCACGTTATCCACTTCCTATCTTATTTTGGGTGCAGTGGGCATTAAACACAATATCTCCTGCACAATTTGTTTCTTCTCATTCTTTCCTTCTAGGTAAATCACACCTTGCAATCGTACAGAGAGTAAATGATGAAGGAGAAGGAGACCCTTTCTATGAGGTGTTGGGAATTGTCACCCTGGAGGATGTGATTGAAGAGATAATCAAATCGGAGATTCTGGATGAGACGGATCTCTATAGTAAGTATTAGGGGACCCACTAAGAAGACCCCAAATGGTTTGGGGGATAAATAACAACACCGGAATTATAATTTTGTTTGCTATTATTTCTAGCAATTATAAAATTCTTGCTAAAATCTCTTAATTTCCCTTTCCACTTGTTGAACATAGCTTTTTCTTATTCTCCAATTAGGCCATATAGAACTTGCCAGTCTTTTCTGGTTGTGGTTTTTCTTGTGTAGTAACAGCTTTCAGCTAGGGAGTTAGGAAGCGATTGCTTTCATGACAAACCAGAATCCTATACATCTCAGCTTGAGTGCCCATCTAAATGAAATGGGATAAGTATATGCCTATCCCTGGATACTAATATCTCATTAGCACAAATGCAGATCCTTACAATAGCATCTTCCAGAATGACACCTTTCACTTCATCTCATTCCTTTTCCTTTCCTGGAAGAATAATCCTTGGGCATTAATGGACTATGAAAAAATACTTTTAATGTTGGATGGTGGAACTAGAATGGGAGATGTTATTATGTATGATTAAGATTGGAGAATGCAGCAATCTTACTGACTAGATTTTAGTTTAGTGTAGTAATTAAGGCACAAAGCTATAAACTGAGAAACTGAATATCAAACTGGGTGACCTTGTGCCAGTAACACTTTCTCAGCTCTACAAAGGAGGCAGTGGCAAACCATTTCCAAAAACCTTGCCAAGAAAACTGCAGGGATTTCTCCACATTGTCTCCAGGAGTTAACCCTGACTTGAAGGCACATACAAACAAAGAAAAGTTTAAGAAGGCATGATATTTATTTTTTTCTTCTTAAGAAAAAAATAGCACCTGTAATGCTGATTGTACGTATTTACTTAAAAGCAAATTGCACTGAAAGTAAAAATGTTTAGGACTGCAGCTATGCTTGAAAGGAAATATGACAAGTTTGCTTGAAAATTCTGTTTTCTTTTTCTCTTTCTCATACACACTTTCTCTTAAAATTACATATTATATATTGTGTCTGCAGTTCTTATTCTCTTAATCTAAGGCATAAGGCCGGTAACCTTTGAAGGATATTACACTTCACATTTTAATTTTTGCTTAGGTGTTGTAATTTGTATTTTAATAAAGCCCCCCCCCCCCAGGAAGGGTCTGTAGCTTTGGGTTGGACAGAGTTGATAATATTTTCAATGCTGTAGAGCATTGCTGTCTTTCATTTAAGATAAGGCAGCTGTGTCAATGTAAGATCAGCACGCCCAAAATGTTGCCATGCGGTTAAGAACTGAGATACAACTGAGTCCTTTCTAAATTCTCAAAGGCATAACTATATTTTTTACTTTCTTAATCCTCAGCAGACAATCAAAAAAAGGAAAGGGTCCCCCATCGGGGGAGGAAACCTCATGATTTCTCCATCTTTAGGCTTTCAGATAGTGAGATGAGAGTAAAGATCACGCCACAGCTGCTACTGGCCACTCATCGCTTCATGGCTACAGGTATTTCTTAGGAGGTTTGCTGGATTTTTGATACTTATTGTTTGATACCCATGTTATTGGCAAGTATCATGAGTTGGAAGTATGCTTTTCTAAGAACAGAATGGCCTTCATGTTTTTTTTTATCTTAAGATTTTTCATTCAATTCTTCTATGATTTATGTTTTAAGCAGCCAGTTTAATTTAGAGTGGATGAGTTGTGTAATGGCATCATTTTCTTTCACTACTGTCTTTCTCCATTGAGGCAAGATATGGTGACCTGAAGATACCTCTGCAAAAGCATAGCTGACAATTATAGCAAAGGCTAAGGAACCGATGAATAAACTGTTTCTTTGGTATCTCTCCAATTAAAGAAATGTCAGGAGATCACCCACATATGCTTTGGATGACTACTCCTCGCAAAGAGTTCGCAGGACAACATTTTTTTTCATGGGTTTGAGTGCTGGGAAATGATGGAATCAGCCATCTTGCTTGCAACCATAACAAAGCCTTTTAAAACAGGAGTTCCCAACTCCCGGTCCACAGCTCCCGGTCCGTGGCTCATTATTGGGCTGTGGGCCAATCAGAACCAGGCCGCAGAAGCCATGGGCACGCATGCACAGCACTATTTCTTCAAATGGAGCTTCACACACTTGCTCTCCCATTGCTTATGTGGAACCAATCCCTCTCTCCTCTTCCCTGCTGGTCCATAAACCTGGAAGCTGTTTTAAAGAACACAAAATTTGCAAAGCTCCCTTTCTAATCGTTTACTAATCATTTACATAAATTGCTTATTCATTAAAGTTATTACAGAGCTTCAGAACAAGTTTGAAAAGTCTTTATCAAGTGTGTTTATTTTCAACTCTGGACGAAAGAAAAATTAATGACAAGCTTAAGAACTTAAAGGATTTGAAATAAATAGCAAAAAAGTGAATAAAATTTTGATCTTAGGAAATTATAAATTGATTAAGCTCCATATAAAGATTCAGGTTTTGGAATTAGCTATAAAAATAAAACTACTTCTCATGGGAAACAGACTTATTTTGACTATCCTGGCAAATGCAAGTCATAACAAAAGATAAGTTATGATTTTAGAAAGTGGACCGTAGAGGGGATTAAAGATTTTAAAGAGAATTAATACTGGGACTTACAAAATAATACAAAATGTTATGACATTGGAAATATTAGTGGAAATCTTTGAAGAATTGAGCCAGAAGTTAGCAACTACAATATTCACACTGTCAGTAATGATATCTGTTTCTGTGGCTATATGTTTAAATATATATTAATTAATTAATGACAGATGTGGGGGGGGGATTATGTAACAATACAGAAGAAGTATATAATGGGGAACTACAAATCATAGGCCAAGAGAGTAATTTGGAAGAGGATGGATATACAAAAGAAACTTGCTAAAGTTTTAAAAATTAAAAGAAAAATACAAATGCTAAACGAAGAAAATGAGCTGGAAAATATTTTCTTACTGGATCTACAAAAGAGGCTTGTTAAAACTTCTGGGATAAAGAAGAGTTGAAGAGAAAATAAATCCCATGACAATATTTGATTGAATTAACAATTAAGACTGTTAGATGTAAAGGTAGTAATATAAAGTTGATATAATTGATCAAGGTTATAAGACCTTTCTGCAATATTCTAAAAATCTTTTATGAACTTTCTGCTGATAGTAGGATTGAAAAGTTGATGTTTTATAAATTTACCTATGGCCAAGGGATGAGATATTGGGTGGAGAGATATCTGTTTGATTTTACAGGAGCTGAAAGATATTAAATTACACGTCTAATAAAGATTGGAAATCACTTGTTTTTATATATATTTTTCTTCGCTGCATTCTTCCTTTTTTCTTCATTCTTTTTTCCTGAACTGCTAATTCTTTCTTTCCACTCTCTTATTCTAAGTTTAGTTTGTATTAGTTTTACTACTACCAGTATAATTCAAATTCTTAGTATTTTTTAATTTGAAAAAAAATATCTTTCTCCGATTACCTTTCTCCCGACTTGTCCAAGCACAGAAAGTACAGTAACTGTTTTCCTCCTGTTTTGTTCTTTTGCAGAGGTAGAGCCTTTCAAGATGCCACATCTCTCAGAGAAGATCCTGCTGCGGCTTCTCAAACATCCCAATGTCATCCAGGAGATTAAATTTGATCACAAAAACAAGCGAGCACCTGAACACTATCTTTACCAGCGTAACCGGCCAGTTGACTATTTTGTACTCATTTTACAGGTTTGTCAAGATTGTGACAGAAATTTGTTACATGCGCTTTATTGTTTACTATAGGAAGCATTTAATTAGTCATTTTTAAAAAAATGGAAATAAATGTGTATATAAATATGAAATCTTTGTACCAAAAATAGGATTTTTTGGTACAAAAAATTTTTGAGGATTTATTTTAGATATTTTTCATGAATGGGTATAGATACATTGGTTCTGATCTTCCTACAAATTATAAGTTAAGTAACTTGTACAGGTCATATTAGAGAATAAAGAGTAAGTAGTTGACCTGCAAATAAAAATCCAGATGCAAGTTTCAATTTTACATACAGCATATTTGTTTCAAGCTTTAAAATAAAGAGGAACAATTCAAAAGACAAAACTATTTTTTAGAAATTTGGCTTAAAGTGACTAGGTTTTATCTAAATAAGTTTGACAATATGTTTTCTTCTATCACAGGGACACATTATTTTAAAAAAATAATATCCAACTAGTCATTCAAATTTAAAGACTTACTAGAGTCCCATGAATTTGGAACTGGGATTTGACAGGTATTGTTTTAATGGTTCCCTAATAAATTTCCTTAGGATTGGATAACATTGCTCATTTTTTCTTAGGATCTTTACAGTTGCAAGAAAAAGTATGTGAACCCCTTGGGATTACATGGAGTTTTGCATGAATTGGTCATAAAATGTGCTCTGAACTTCATCTAAGTCACAATAATACAAAAACACAGTCTGCTGAAAATAATACTACACAAACATTAGATGTTGCCATGATTTAATTGAACATAACATGTAAACATTCACAATGCAGGGAAAAAGTATGTGAACCCCTTGGGATTACATGGAGTTTTGCATGAATTGGTCATAAAATGTGCTCTGAACTTCATCTAAGTCACAATAATACAAAAACACAGTCTGCTGAAAATAATACTACACAAACATTAGATGTTGCCATGATTTAATTGAACATAACATGTAAACATTCACAATGCAGGGAAAAAGTATGTGAACCCCTTGGGATTACATGGAGTTTTGCATGAATTGGTCATAAAATGTGCTCTGAACTTCATCTAAGTCACAATAATACAAAAACACAGTCTGCTGAAAATAATACTACACAAACATTAGATGTTGCCATGATTTAATTGAACATAACAGGAAACATTCACGGTGCAGGGAGGAAAAAGTATATGAGCCCCTAGCTTAATGACTTCTCCAAGAGCTCATTGGAGCCAGGAGTGAGCCAACCTTGACTCCA